GCTAGGTTGGATTTATTTGTATAACATACCGAACACAAACAAGGGGCTGACGATCATTGGGACATAAGTTGTCGCAACTGCTGTCGTACCACATATGCAACCGGCAGCATAGCCTAAAAACGTTTTTAGAGTTTTTCTGATAATTTGATGTTTGAAGTTTTGGTATGTACCTACAGAGCCAGAAAGCATGGCAACCACGATATTCAAAAAGTTGAACTTGAGATATTGACTTAAAGACTGAGAGTATCCTGAATGATACACCTATATGATATAATATTTTCCCAATCGGGGCGCATGAAGCTAATCTATCAGATATTCATTTTAATGATTACCTGCAAGTGAATAAAGTATTATGGAGTAGAGAGTAGGGAATATCAGATACTGTGTTGTCTGAATAATTTTTCCGTAAAGTGCGTATCTGCCACTGATCATTACTCACATCTGCAGCGTTCATTGCTACAAAAAATGCAGTGGGCGAATACACATTAGCTTGATACTCCCGTATCACAACGGGTAAATCAGCCGCAAAGACCTGAATCGGTTAGCGAATTTACAAAGTGCGAAATTTTGCATGGCCTAACGCAGCCGTACGTAATCACAGAGTGTATGGGGATTAGAACTGATTTCAGTAGGATTTGTACGTCTCACTAGCGCATTAGTTTTCACTGAGTCCGTCGCTTAGCAGAAGACAAGTCCAGAAAGGAAGACGTGCTACAGCTAGCGATGGGACCCATATCATTCGGGACTAAAAAGCTCCATCACAAATTGTGGATGGGTTATCCTGTCGTTTATCCATCTGAACCGTCTTCTTAATTCTTTTCACCTCGACTGAGTTTCTTGGTCAATACTCTCCACATCAAATGAAACAGGCATAATCAAGTGCTAAACTTCAGCTGATCAGTTAGAACTGCATGTTTAGTATACTTGGGTAAATTCAAAATTTTTCATCGAATGAATGAATATCGAATAAATTTGAGAATGAAAAATTTCGAGTAAACGACTATTGAATAAATTCGAGATCTGAGATTTCTTGAATGAATGAATCACGAATATAATCGGAAAACCAAAACTATCGAATGAATGTAATCGAATATATTCGAACATTGCGAGTCGAATTTCAAATAGATATTCTAATAATTCATCGAATATCTCAAAGCAACCATGTTTAAAACCTGCTGATACCCGGCCAAAGCCGATTCATTCATAACCAGCACTATCACACACCAGTGGCGGGCCAAGGGGTTGGTGGGGAAGAGGGAGAGAGCCCCCCCGCGGAGAACGGCGCGATTTTTGAAAGTTGAAAAAATTGTGCAAGCGACTTTTTATACTTGTAAGCAGTTGATTCAATTTTTTAAGTTTTAAAAAATTCATATTAGCTTCATAAGAAAATTTTCCGGGGCTTAGCCGTGTCCACACCCAGTCCGGGAAAAATTTGGGAAGCATCCCAAAAATTTTGGCGTGTGTGGCTAACGCCATGCACCTCAATTCGAAAAAAATTTTTGTCGCTTCACCCCGGGCGAAATTCCTGCGACCGCCACTGTCACACCCTTTACCAACTCAGAACACCGTAGCTCAAGATTTTCCAGTAACTGGTAAAATCGATAAAGTAGATTTTTATTTAGAATCAGGCACTCTCATCTATCACGCCTTATCACTCCCAGCCCCGAAGCTCAAAGATCTCTAAAAATACATAAAATGGTAAAATGAGTTTTTAATCATAATCAGCACCCTCACTTACCCCTTGTACGAACTTGCAGCCCCTAACTTAAAGTTTCTGAAGGCGTCCATCAAGTTGATCGGTTGGCAAGTAGTCTATACATTAGCAAAACGTCATAAATTTTGAAGGCATGACCACCGCAAAGAAAGAGTAACATGCTTGTCAACACACTTCCAGTATATAAGAAGCGGATCCTGAGCTTGAATTTAATAGCTATTTTTTCTTGCTGATTTGATGCCAATAGCAGTGCGAACTCATTGTT